CTATCAATGTGGACATCATTAGTTAATTCTATATCTTTAAATATTTCACTTGCAGCTTGGGGCTCCATTCCTTTCGAACTTCCACTATAGTTGGAATTGCAAATATGGGGCGGAGGGTCACGTTTCCTGGATTTGTGGTATATGCAGAGGGAACAGTCTTTTTTCAAGACTTTAAAGTGCAACACCTTCTTAGTTTTTTCTCCAATAACAACACCAACACCAGATTTGCTATTGTAAGCTTTTCCCGATCCCCTTTTTTGCCACCCCATGTCATATTTTGCGCCAATTGTTGGTATAGGTTTTTCACATTGTGGTACTCCAATTTCAGAAATAGCAGTGGTAGGATTTATAAAATTATCGTTTGATTCTATTTTCCCTTTGTCAACTTGAGAATCAATATTTTGGTCAATAGTACTACGACATGGGTGATGTAGCTCATCACTCGATGCTATTACAAGTGAGACATCTTTGTCAGTATCAGGATCCCGAGTAGAAGCAGTTATCTCCATCTTAATGTTATTTTTACAACTTTCCTTGGCAGCATTTTCTAAATGCTCTCCAAATTCCCTGGTTCGCTCTGTAAATGCACAATAAGTCAGGAATGGAATTTCTATTGCACTCATGATCTTACTCATCTGAGTATATGAAATTCCGGAATGACAAATTGATGCAGCGACTTTAGTATTGATGTCGAAGATCTTGTAATGACTAGTACTAGCTTTTTCATTCACATGTTGCTTTGAATTGTACACTTTTGACACTTCGTGGCAATTTGAACACTCAATGTCGAATATACAGCCCAGTCCCTTTTTAACCTCCTTGACAATGTTACTAAGTTTGAGTTCAGCTCTGCATGCAGAACAGCCATTTTGCAGTTGCTCAGCTAAATACCCAATTTCTACAATTCTTCTACCTTCAAGTTTGTAAGAATCTGAAATTATGTTAAAATACTTTTTGAGGAACATTTCTATTGCTTTAACGTTTTTATCGCTATAATGACCTTCTTAAGGTCAAAAGGGGTCTTTTTCAACTTCTTTCAAATTGACCATTTTTTCAAAATCATCCACAATTTCTCAGAAATTCAAATCGGACTTAAGATTGAAATCATTATATTGTGAGCACCTAGGTGGTGACATTTCGTCATGATAATGCCTTGTCTAACTTTGAGGGAAGCTATATTACACACCTAAATCAAGGGGCAATATTCACACCTAGGATTGGCTACCAGTGTGTAACATCTATATTCTGTCCCTATATGGGCATGTCATGATACAAAATTGGAATACAAGCAGCCGCCATTTTGTTCACTTAAATCATGAATTTTGGTCTTAATTCCAAACAAAAGATTCAAAAACTCACAAGAAATGATCAAGATATTGGTTTGAATCTTTTGAACTGTTTATTTTGAATTTTAGTTGATTATAATATCTGAAAATAACGACGTTTCAACGTTTTCATAGTTGAAAAATATCGAGTTTTGATCCTCGGAGCCAATCCTCCTTGTCCAGTAAAGGTTATTCATCAATAAGGCTTTAAAAGCATATAACATTTTAATCAAATCCATCAACGAGTATTTGACATTTTGCTCAGACAAACGGACAGACGCATAGATGGACAGCTTCTATATATCTCCCTCAAACTTTGCTTGGTGGGAAAACTAAAACATTGGAATACAGGTTAACAATAAAACGGCACCTTTTTTTCAAAATCAATTTTCAAACAGAACTTTTGCTGACACAAGGCACATAAAATATAAACATTATTGAACCTTCAATAAGGGTTATTGCCAAGACAGAATATAATTATCCCATTGAAAAGTTTGGAGGGATATAGGGAACGCCTCCGTCCGTCCGTCCGTCCGGGCAATAACTCAAATACCGTTGGCCCGATTTTGTTCATATTTTGTATTCATATACCCCATGGGGGAAGAAGTTCTGTTCGAAAGCTGATTTCTAAAATGGCCTCTCATGTAAAAATGGCTGCCATTTTAGTGCCGATTTTACAGTAATTTAGGTGCAATATGTAAAACTGTTATAGCGATTTGTTTTAAATGTAAAAAAATTATATAGGACATTAATAAAGCTAGAAATGTAGTTATTAAAGAAGCACATGGCAGCCATCTTGAAAAATGGCGGCATTTACTCGTTATTTTACGATTTTTGCTGTAACTCGAAAAGTAGTCGAGCGATTTTGTTACGCGGTAAACACGATACAAAAATATGTCATATTCCGCAACGAATATGGCATATTCACTTGCGGTGTATGACAGATTCACCTGCGGTATATGGCATACAAACTAACCAATGAGAACGTGATACGGAAGTACGCAATTGTCGATTGCATCGATTGAACGAAATAGTAAAACGTTGTTAATTATTGTAATGATTACTGAATCAACAGTACTGTGTATCGAATATATTAACTTAGCAGAAGTATCAGTCACCAATCTCGCGTAATAAACTTACTCAATCAATCCAGGATTCATATATTAGTACTCGACGCACTAACTATAATGGTAATACAGCGTAGTTTTACATTTAGAGTCGATTCTCGCAACCAATCAAATCAAGGCTTTCTGTATCACGTTTTCACCTGCGGTATATGTCATATTCACTTGCGGTATATGGCATTTTCCGCAAGTGAGTATGCCATATTCCGCAGGTGAGTATCGGGTAATCACTGAAATCAATGTATCGCATATTCACTGCGGAATATCGCATACTCACCTGCGGAATATGCCATATACCGCAGGTGAGTATGGCATATTCACCCGTATCACAAATACCGCGCAACCATGAATGTATGCCATATACCGCGTAACAGATTTTGTTCATATTTGGTATTTGAATACTATAAGCATGGCACACTGTCCAATGACTCTTCTGGTAGAAAGCGGCCTTTTTGAAAAATGGCGGCCATTTTAACGTATTTTACTATAACACGAAAAGTAGTGGAGCGATTTTGTTCATATTTGGTATGTGAATACTATAAGCATGGCACACTGTCTAATGACACTTTTGGTAGAAGGCAGCCATTTTGAAAAATGGCCGTCATTTTAACGTATTTTACTATAACTCGAAAAGTAGTAGAGCGATTTTGTTCATATTTGATGCGTGAATACTATAAGCGTGGCACACTGTCTAATGACACTTTTGGTAGAAGGTGGCCATTTCGAAAAATGGCTGCCATTTTTGCTGTATACTTTGTTTGTAAAAATGCCAGCCATGGCTGTTCGATGGGATTTGCTACACTTTGGTGTTGCTGTTGTCTAGTTGAAGGATGGATGGACGGACAAATGGAGGGGTCTCTATAGCTTATCCTCTAATCTTCGTTGGATTGAACAATTGTGAATATGGTTTGTTGGACAAATAAAACTGATTGAATGTCTAAAAGCAAATAATGAAGTGGTAATTTATTTAAAATCATTAAAATCTCAAACATGCTTGCTTTGGTCTAGTCACTTAATTCCTAAATGTCCCGTAATTAGTATCTATATACCTTATTAGATGCAGTGAAGGAGTTAAATCATTGGGATATGAATAAATCATGCAAAACATATTTTGTACATATTTCTCATCATTTAGGGTTACCCAGTAGTTTACAAGCTGACCTTTGCAAAATATATTTCACTTACTATCCTCATTTGCTATCACGCTATCTAGTTTCTTTCCAAATTGGCCTGGATTGTCTGGTTTATTGGTTTTAGCGAACCGTCCATTTTTTCGAACCATCATTTTGCTCAGGTTGTTTGTGATGAATATACAATATTCAGTTACATATAACTGTACAGCAACTTTATGCAAGGGAAGGTAATTGTGTGAGAGCACATAAAGTACATGAAGTATTGACCCACTTGTCTCAGTGAATCTTATAAACAGTGCATAAAGCATTTTCTATGCAATGATTGGCTCACAGTTACTTATAGTGTAAGTTATTTTATTTCTATACAGTGTGGAATAGAGTGTATAAACTTTTACAGTTTCAAGCAGGTTTTAGTGTTTTCTGACCAATGATATATTCAGACTTATTCATTTCACGATTATGTAATACTGACCTACATATCTGTAAAGCATATCTTTAAACTATGTATAATGTATATGTGGCGTTCATTACTGATCATAACAAATCAAACTACACTCCCCTCCATAAGTTTGGCAACCTTTTTTCCCCCATTGAACTACGTGTTAAAGCCTCTTTACCTTTGAATTTTTATTAACTTAACCTGCAATGAAAATACGTATACTATTGGTGGAAACGTTATTTGACTTTAATTCCAATACCTCCAAATTTTCTCAATTTTTTTCCTCAATTACAGTAGGTCGAAAATTGATGATGAATTTGATGAATTTTTAAAAATCGACATTAATCAAACGTAAAGAGACTTTAACACGTAGTTCAATGGAGAAAAAAGGTTGCCAAACTTATGGAGGGGAGTGTACGCATATTTCATACGCTAAATATGCATACGCATTTCCACTCATTTATTTAGATGAAGCGCAACTAAAATTATATTTTTGTTGCATTCGGAATAAAGATCTGTGTTAACTACAAAAATCATGGCAGAAAGAATTCCTTCTAGCTAGTGGTAGTTGGTGTTTTGGACTGATTACACGCAAGCTTACTCAGAGGAATGCGCAATAACCTGATAACCACAGACCTGCCGGTACCTATTTATATTCGGGTTGGTGAAGGAATATTACAGGGACAGTACAGGAAGATTTCAATTTTCAGCATTTCCCAATAACAATAACGGGAAATTTTACGGTAGTTTGAAAAAAATACTGTTGATTTTAGCAGAAATACGGCAGATTTTCGAAAATTTACGGTTGATTTTCAAAAATTTACGGTAGATTTTACGGCCGTTCTCATGGAATAAACGAGTTTTTGAAAAAGAAAATTTACGGTAGATTACGAAAAAATACGGTATTCAGTGCCTATGATCTTATGCATTGTTTGGTTCACAACTGTAAGATGTATTTCCTATGAAAATAAAGCTATGTATTTTATTTTAGAACCGTGGAATACGTTACATTGAAATTCATGTCATTTTACCCTTAACGTCATGTGCGTCAGTACTGACATAATAGTAGTCTATCTTCGACGTACATTTGTAATCGTATCGTTCTCAGATTCTCCTATAGTATTTGAAACCAAAAACCTATACGTTCATTGGACATGCATTGAAATTAGCCGCAAATGCGTATCCACCATCTATAGTTGATGAGCACCATTTGACGTCATTGCATGGGATACTGGATTTCTTTGACGTACAACGTTTTCCACAAGGAAACAACATCTTTGTCTTGTAGTCACAGCAGCAGTTCTTTGACACTGCTTCTGATAATAACTTCTTACGGATCTTTTTGCACTGTTTTGTCGCCTTCGTTGTTGATTCATTACATCGAGCAAGCTTTAACAAATAAATTGTGTCCATTGGAAGTTTTGTCTGACGTTTAAACTTATGACAATTTGCAAATCAATGTCTTCAAATGGTCCATTTTGGTCTCATTTTCAAAATAAGGCCTCATTTTTGAAAATATGGTATTTCTAGAAAAATTTCCAATTTCCGGATCCGTCACTAAAGTTCTCCTAGATAAATGTCTTCATCCCATGAAAAGGATACATTGAAGAAATCTGTGTAAGGCTTGGAGACCAAAACAAAGTTTACTGTCATAAAACCTATCAAACCGAGAAATAGCACAGGGTGACAGGTACTGTATTGCAACTGTTCTGAAGTAAGCTTGTCAATATAATTTAAAATAGAAAATTTAAAAAGAAATATGTTGTTTTTGATGTTAATTCTATTCAGTTAAGATGCATTGTTCGAAAAAAGAATTATTAGTAACCGCTTGACGTAGGAGGGGTTTCTCGTATTTACCTAATGAGAAGATATATAGCAAAAATATCATCTTCGACTCGAAATCATTACGATCATGTACACACCTTTAGAGCCTTTGTTAAAGTCCTCTGACACATACATGGTTTTGTGGGTCCGCTATCTGTACCAGGTCCAAGACACCCCTGACTGCAGAATTGGCACAAATCGTACTCCATACATGCAGCGTCCACGTCATTTATAGGGCTAACCCCACACGATCTTGAAAATAAATAAAACATTGCATCATGTCTGTTTTGACAATGAAACTATTACCCTAACAAATATGTGTTGCCAGTTTGTGTCTAACCTCGTGTTAATGGGTTTAAAGGGAATTGATGGGTATGTTTTTGTGTATTTCCCTAGTTTCCCCTGATTTACGCATAACCCTCACCATTCCCCCAATAGGGAAGGGTTTATGAATAAATTGCATCCATGTTGTGGACGTATAACGGTAGACATGTTAATTCCTGACAACGCACACTGTTTGCATAATACTTTGGTTCAATGATCAATGTCAACCAACGAGTTCGTTAGACATGACTTTTATTTTCATTGGCTTTATCAAATTAATGGCAGGATTACATATATGTAAAACAGCAGACTCATGGCTTGTTACACTTTTATGTAACTCAGTCAAGCAATATTCTGGTGAGTGGATAGAATTGAAATTAGAAGTGCAATTTGTTGGATTTTCACTAACAAATACATGGGAAATAAGTTGTTTTGGCAAATCTAACCATTAAACATTGCATATTCAAGAAAGTACTGTTTTATCTACTTAACAGTTTTCAGAAGTCTGAAATGACATTAAATCCTTATTCCTTGTACTTTTACTTTCCAATGGTATAGCTTATTCATAGCCTCGGACAATTTGCAATTTTTCATAGTTTGCTTAAAGTCCCCATATAAAGTTTTAACCACTTTGGCCTTTATTGTAGTCTTACCCAATGTTATCAAAGTGTGATATGTGAAACTTTTTTTTTAAATTTCAAAAAGTGGTTGTGAATTTATTCAAAACTAACTTGAGAGGTCACACACATCTTTTAATTAGCCACAATTCATATCAATGTATTCATCCTCGCATGTTTTTTGCCGAAAAATTAAGAAAATCGGTTCATAAATAAGTGAGAAATGAACTCCTCGGTGCATGAAAATGGTTCCAAGAAAAATGCATTTCAAAATTTTAGTTCTCATAGAAACAAATGGTACGATGATATCTCCTTTTAACCTGGTTAGACAATCAACATTGGTTTATTATTGAAGTCTAGCATATTTAGAAAAGATTGACATCGAAAAAAAATTTCAATTTGAAAAATGGCGGGAAATTTGAATATTTGAGAAATGAAATGCTCACAACTTTTTTTTCATAAATCTCTAAAATAACTTTTTAAGTCATGACAAATAGTAAATGAATGATGAAAAAATATTTTCAAACTTTAGACGGGGACTTTAACTATTATAGTTGCATCAGGTTTTTCCATCTCTTTTGGAAGATGGAAAACGGGTGATACAAAGGGTATCGATCGATATCCGGTATCATGTACAGGGTTTTAAAAAAACGCAACCGAAAGAAATTGCTATATCTTGGAAAACAATAAACCAGTTGTATGTTCTTCTTTCCTGAAAAAATGAACACAATTGGTTTAGTATTTTCCAAGCGATTTCTTTTGGTTGAGATTTTTGAACACCATGTACATCAATGAACAGTAGTTCTAAACAGCTATTAAAAGTCAAAACCGTCACAACTTACGAAGCACATTTTTTGCTGTTAACGTGACAATTACAACACGCGTTAATACCATCTTGCGGCCCACACCAGTTGTACCCGCTATACAATCCACTTTCTTTTTCTGGAAACGGTCTCCTGCTTGTACTACTCCCAGAAGGCAGAGGATCGTTAAAGTGTCCATTTTTCTTTTTTGTTGTACCGGGGTACTCTTCATAGATCATGTGCTCTGCAGAAATAGATTTGGACATAAACTGATCATTGCAAGCATTTTGAATAATATCCAGTGATTTATTTTTGATCAGAGGTAATGCAGATCGTAAATTATTGAAAGTGTCAATTCAATTTATTGAATTTCAAACACATTTTCAATGGATACACCGGGCTGAGTACTGTTGATTGAGACTGTCAATCGTTCAGCGAACAGAAGAGATAATTTACGATTGCCTTGTTAATCCGAAGATGAAAACGTATTTTAGGCAATACGTACATTAATTATGATGATGTCGTTTTTCGTGTTATTTCCCGTATTATTCATTGTTTGGACCAAATATAAATAAATTTAGGAAAATGCATTTGGTTGACAATCTTATTAGGACAATGTCTTTCTGTCTTGACGTGAATGCATTGAATGGCAATCGTGGGATCAATCATTCTCTCGCAGAAGTCAATGTAGCGGTTAACAATAGCTCAGTAGAGGTCGATAGTAGCACACGTAATTGTCAAGAGTATGATGCGTTGTAGCGATCAACAGTTAATGTTATTGACTTATGAACATTATTATTACCTCCTGGTAATAAAATAGCTTGTATTTGCTTGCACACAGAGCAAAACTCTGGTCGTTTTAACTGCAAAGTTTTTACGGTTATGTGACAAAATGAACCCTCAAAAGATTATCAATTTGCCTAAAATTCTGTATGCAAACTAAGGCTCGTCATAATAAACCATGACATCTCGTTTCTTTTCAGTCAGACAAGTAAAAGTATGACAATGACAATGACAATAAAAAACTTTCAATTGATTTAAATTCAAAAGTAAGGTTGTTACGTGACGTGAAACAGTCGTTCTGAAGTTGAAATTAGTTTGCCACGAAAACAAGGATAACTTGATAAAATTAAAATTTGGGAGTACATATTAGTGGTTCACAATCGCAAGGTGCCCAAATAGTTGGTAAGGATGAGTATAATCCAAGTGAGACCTGATTGATATGTGTGGCATTTACAAACAAAACATGAAGATGAGATAAGAACACTTGAACGCTTTGGAGGCTTCAGGAACATCTGCAATATCTCTGAGTTCAACTCACCTCCCATAGCATGCATCATGAAGATACCATACGCCCCAACGTCAGGATCGATGTACATTTTATTGGGGATATCGAAACATTCTTTTATATCTTTTACTTCCATAGGGATGTCTAACACAGGATACTTTGTTAACGTCTTCATGTTCGGTTTTGGTAGTCGCCAATGTGGTATTTGCTGTAAATGTAGGAAAAGAAGGAGAAGAAGACCATTATCGGTGGCCACGGGAGTTTAAAAACAATGACAGTCCCCAAATGGCAAAGATTCCAGATTTGGAGGCCTGTATTCCATCTAATTCATCACTGTCATGATCGTGTAAGTGCTGTGGGTATGCTTCTTACTTACAATATTTAGTGTTATAGTCTCTCCTCTTTAACAAAGAGCGAACGATAACGACAAGTACAAATAGCCACAAATGGTTCATACTACATATCGTTTTCTGTTTCAATGCTTGGTTTAAATACATTCTCACAAATGCAATTTATTGTCGGCAGAATAATTATTTAAAACAATACTTCAATTGATGCTGCTTTATAGACATTGATTTAATGTTATTGATAACGCAAAGTTGTCAAGGATGTAAAAACAATAATAATATATCAAATGGATCACTATTTTTAGTATAAGGTTATGGACACATCCATTATTTTGGCGCTTATAATAATAGATGACCAGATGTAGATAATCCTCCTACAAGATGTAGGCACCAAGAGATACATAAGCCCCATTAACGGTATACAAAACCTTTCAAGACGTCGTTGCTAAGAGCTCTCGTCGCTTTCCACTGGGCCTAGAGGTAGGAACAATCGAAACCTTGTGAATCAAGATGTCCCCACTTAACTGTCCATTACATTAACACTGGTGATCCACTCGATTACGCTGGTTACCAAAACGAACCGTTTTGGTAACAAAATGTCGGAACGTCGAAGGCACCATTTTTCTTTTTTCCTTATTTCACGCGTTGTAGGCAGAATCCCCACGACGTTTTTAACACAAACGCGTATCAGTATCATATGTTTAAGAAAATGTACATGTTTGCGAACAAATAGTTCAGAGGACAACAGAATCGTCGATTTACTTCCTCACTTAAGTTACATAAACGGTTTTTCGAAAAACAGTTAAGATCTGCACTTTTAACCCAAATCGTTTATGTAACTTAAGTGAGGAAGTAAATCGACGATTCTGTTGTCTTCTGAACTATTTGTTCGCAAATATGTGCAATTTCCTAAACATATGATACTGATATACGTTTCTGTTAAAAAATGTCGTGGGAATTCTCCCTACAACGTGTAAAATAAGGAACGAGAAAAATCGTACCTTCCGGATGTTCCGACATTTTGTTACCAAAACGAACCGTTTTGGTAACCAGCGTAATCGAGTGGATCACCAGTGATTAAACTATTGTTCATATTGGTATACTTAGTGCGGGTAATCTCCACCAGGTTCAAGATTATAATACACACGTCACAATGTGTTTACCTGTCTAGAACTATTTAGCAATCGTTATGTTCGACATTGACCTCAAAAACAGTCTAATGCGGATATTAGTCCATTTTTATTTCAAGGATGTTGGGCAATCTCCATTTTTCTTCTGAATTTGATCACAAAAGGAAAATGATTTATTTGAGACAATCAATTAATATCAATAAACGAAGAACTCAAGTTTACCGGGATTTTCTTCTTAACTATTATTCATATCTGGAAAATCATTTACAGTATAAAATCCTACCTTAAGAATTTTAGAATCGACAAAAGCACCAAGCTTCCCACGAATAGGTGGTAGTTCCTCATCCTTGCAGAACAACACCTTTTTCTTCTTCCTCTCAATACCGAAAGCCACTTGTCGCACCTGTACACCAATGTAATGTCGGGTATATATAATTGTATTATTTACTAGACGTAAACATGGCAACGTTTTGGATCAGAATGTTAATTTGGATTTTTTTCCTAAAACAAGAAATCAATGGATCGCAGTGCAATTTTGAAAAAAAATATAAATACGTTTTTTAGAGAGCAACAACCATGTTGATGTTATTTTGAGGCCATGCTAAAATGACATGGCAGAAACAAACAATCCGAAATAAATACAATGTTTACATTTCAATTGCATTATCAGTGGTCCATTGATTGCTTATTTTAGCAAAAAGTATATACTTTTATGCAATGCAAACGACTACATGGTATGTATAAGACGTCATACTAGAAATCACTACGGTAATGGGAGCGAAGAGGGGTCAATGTTACGGTGTTGCCCATCCTTCATCCGGATCCGGAGCATTTTGACTTGCTCTAGTTATATATTTTATAGGACTCTACATTTTATTACATGATTTATGTGAGGTGAGAACGTTGCTTCTACCAGTGCAGTTAGTCAGCTAGATAGGTAGATCTTAGTTAACCGATTCACTTTTATTTCATATTGTAACGGAGATAATATAACAATTATTGATCCAAGGTGAGAGACTCTATGTGCAGACATTACATCTATGCTTTGTCAGATTAATGTCTTAAAGAAGCGACATCCACAGTGGACTACAAATTAATTATATCAACGATGATCAATCTATCTTAGACATTTCATACCATGTAGTTCAAAGTATACAGGATTCTCTTTGTTTTGCAATCTTTTGTTTTGATAATTATATTTATTTCATTTTTTTATGATTTGATTGTATTTATCAATAGAAGCATTTATGGACAAACAACCTTGTGTACCATGAATTCGAACTATACGTTGTTGTATGCAACATAAAAGTGTTCCCTGTTGTTTATACAACTTCTGCATGAAAAATGTTCAGGTCTCACAAGAATTGTTATTTTTTGACCCACCCTATACAATGTATATTCTTAAGTCGAGATTAACACTTATATGGCATCATAATGAATTGACACACAACGATTATATTCTTTAACTATATTAAACACCTACCTGACAATCCACAGTATTTTCTTGGCATTCTAACCTCACAACCAAGTAAATACAAATATAGTTTGTTCGGATTAATGATATGTATGTTTTGTCGTCTTCGATGGAATACAGAAAGTATGCAGGGGAACTTGTTGCAGCCCTCCTTACCCTCAAAGGAGAGATAAATGGTTGCGTCTGAAACATACGTGATGCAGGAAAGATAAATGGTGGCGTCTGAAACAAACGTGATGCAGGAAAGATAAATGGTTGCGTCTGAAACATACGTGATGCAGGAGAGATAAATGGTGGCGTCTAAAACATACGTGATGCAGGAAAGATAAATGGTTGCGTCTGAAACATACGTGATGCAGGAGAGATAAATGGTGGCGTCTAAAACATACGTGATGCAGGAAAGATAAATGGTGGCGTCTGAAACAAACGTGATGCAGGAGAGATAAATGGTGGTGTCTGAAACATACGTGATGCAGGAGAGATAAATGGTGGCGTCTGAAACATACGTGATGTAGGAGAGATAAATGGTTGCGTCTGAAACATACGTGATGCAGGAGAGATAAATGGTGGCGTCTGAAACAGACGTGATGCAGGAGAGATAAATGGTGGCGTCTGAAACATACGTGATGTAGGAGAGATAAATGGTGGCGTCTGAAACATACGTGATGCAGGAGAGATGGTGTCTTCTGAAACATACGCGATGCAGGAGAGATAAATAAACAAAGTAATCTCCATTATTTTGGAAACCCTCACTTAAATTCACCTCATGCATTTGTATTAATAGATGTCGGCCGGGGAAAAAGCCTTTCCGTTCTGAAGAAGGTAATACTCAATATAATTTATAAAGGAATCTATCTGTATGTCCTTCCATGCACGAGGTTCTAAATGTTCATGTTAACAAAAACATGGAGACAAGTTCATTTATGAATTCCTTCTATTAAACCTGCATCACAAATTTTGTTTTTGAAGCACACGTTGGGATGCTTTTCCTTAAGGACGAGATCGCCAGAAACATTGAAGGTCAACTATGTGCAACGAACCCACAGTTTTGAATCAAATAATTACATAATTGATAATGAAAACGATAACTTATCAGAAAAAACGTTGGCATAAAGAGCAATATCTCTGATTTGTAATGTTTTATTATGCAAAAACACGTCTCATTCGAACAGATTGTTTATAAAAATAGTAGGAATCACAATATTTCATGTAGTTAAATACCATGCATAGCAACGAGATCTTCTTTTTAATTAAATTTACAATGAATCACGTATATTCAGTATTCAATTGTGTTCATTACTACTATTGTTATATTTCAGTGAAATGTAATAAAAACGCGTATAGGCCATTGCATGGTAAATCATTACACTTCTCCAATAAATGACCCAATATGATTTCAAACATGATTAAGATGATATAAACAAAAAAAGATATCAATTCATAAATGACGGGAAATGACGTAGTATCCGGGGTAAATATGTTTAATAAGTGTAATTAAAAACGGACATCGAGAATGAATAAAATGAATAAACAGTCAGACAAGATCCAATTTGCTGGCTAATAACAATAAAAAAGATTTGTGGTGGTTCGTCGTTATTCTGTACATGTATATGTCGCATAATTACAACATACTTTTTTTATTTTATTGGAAGATATTATTCATGGAAACATCTGACGATCATGTAAATGTTATATTTCTAAAAACACAATTTAGCCGCTACAGAACTTTTTTTTATTGTCATGGAGTTTAAGATGCTGCAACCTCTCCAGAGTCTTTGATGGGTATAGCCTACAGAATCTAAGTTGGTACATCATCTAGCTGAGTCTAAGATGTCAACAATCACCAATTTGTCACACATAACACCAATCTGTGATTAATAAATGGGTCTCAGATGGTAAAACCTCTAGAGTCTTAAAGGGTTTAGCCTATAGTGTTTAATGGGTACATCCTCTAGAGTCTAAAATGAGTACAGCATCCATAATCTAAGATTGATACAGCCTACAGAGTCTAATTTGGTACATCTTCTAGAGTCTAAGATGTCAACAATCACCAATTTGTCACATACAACACCAATCAGTGATTAATAAATGGGTCTCAGATGGTAAAACCTCTAGAGTCTTAAAGGGTTTAGCCTATAGTGTTTAATGGGTACATCCTCTAGAGTCTAAAATGAGTACAGCATCCATAATCTAAGATTGATACAGCCTACAGAGTCTAATTTGGTACATCTTCTAGAGTCTAAGATGTCAACAATCACCAATTTGTCACATACAACACCAATCAGTGATTAATAAATGGGTCTAAGATGGTAAAACCTCTAGAGTCTTAAAGGGTTTAGCCTATAGTGTTTAATGGGTACATCCTCTAGAGTCTAAAATGAGTACAGCATCCATAATCTAAGATTGATACAGCCTACAGAGTCTAATTTGGTACATCTTCTAGAGTCTAAGATGTCAACAATCACCAATTTGTCACATACAACACCAATCTGTGATTAATAAATGGGTCTAAGATGTTAAAACCTCTAGAGTCTTAAAGGGTTTAGCCTATAGTTTTTAATGGGTTCATCCTCCAGAGTCTAAAATGGGTACAGCATCCATAATCTAAGATTGATACAGCCTACAGAGTCTAATTTGGTACATCTTCTAAAGTCTAAGGGGTTAACATTCACCATTTTGCCACATACAACACCAATCTGTGATTAATAAATGGGTATTAGTTTTTATGGCTCCGGATTACTTAAAGTCTTTATAGTTTACCGTGCATGGGGAAAGATGAATCCCGTGTCCTCTTACCCAAACGCAAACCAACTGAGAAATTGATATTCGTGAACCAAACCTTTGGACCACACCCTTCCTTATTTATTTCACTTTTTTGAATATGAGATGTATGGATAAAATAATGGCTACATTTCGTAATAACTGAGCAAACGAGAGCTTCAAAGTGCGCCCCGGATGGAAAATAAATAACGCAATTTGTACTAAGGTTCAAATACACCATTTGAACGGTGAGATGTAAGCTCTAGAACCTGGATATCAGGATTTGAATTTGATTATTTCTATGCGCATCATTTTGATAAGAGATGAAATGCTTTTCAAAATTGTTAAGCTAACTTCCTTGAGTGCTTTATGTGAACTATATTCATAAAGCACAGGATTTCAATAGAAAACAAAAAATGAGATTCTATGGTCTATACAATCATACAGTGATCACTTGTTAAAAGTGTTTTCTTCGAACATAATCGAATTAACTCATTAACAGTGATTAGTGTTTGAAAATGAATTGCTGAATTTCAGGGACACCAATTTGTCGTTTGTCCCTCACTCTATATAAACATGATCTACTTTATTATTGCTAGCACTGATCGATCTCGTGAAACTTGGCCACCACTTGTAAAAATATCACTACTTACCTTAAATTCACTCTCAATTTTCAACTTATTCCTGTAGTTTGCTTGAATCTCTATTGTTAAGAGCAACCAGCAGACGATTAAACTTAAGAAAAAACATTTAGTTCCAATCATTTTCAATTTGTCTATATCTCTCTAGCGCAATAGGCTGTAATATCTAACCGTAGCTGTTGCAAATATAGACATAGAAATATTGCCTCAATAAGAGGCCATCGATTCTTTGGAGACGAGATTCTTTATTCCAATTTACAGTGATTTATGCTTTTTAATTCAATATTGTTTATTTTCTGAAATAGTTTGACTATTTTTAAGATCTTGATCGTATGAAATATGTTTGGTTATACACCAAATGTGTCGTTTTAGTTCAATGCCCCCATTTAACAATTACATAATTTTGCCTCAGTCACATTTGCTTTTTTGCTCACACTTGCTTCTTTCCATCAGCGATGTGTTGCAGAAGTAGATAAGGGGGTGGGGGTGGGGGGGGGTCAACAGTCTTGAAGTAAGACTACTTTTCTCTATATTTCATGCTGCAAATTTCTCTGATTTTGGGAATCCAATCATCCATTTTGGGAGCTTGATAGTTTTTTATTGTGATTTGCATGCAATATCGACTAAAACGAATGTGTTCAAAATATGATGACACCGCAGGGTGAAGACACCGTTAAAATATTTTTTACGAACAGCTTTACATTGGTTAATAATTAATTGAAAGCAAAAGGTTCCTTTATTGGTACTGAGATTTGCCAAGATGAAAAAGGTGTCGAAGTGAGTAGTTTTTTGGGTAAAAATGTGAAAATTTATTATATAAAATACATTCTAGTTGACTCTCAAAAGTCGAAACATACCATGTTTAATCAACTTGGAGGATTTAAGGATATTAATAGTTTTTATTTGTGATTTGTATGCAATATCGTCTAAAACGAGTGTGTTCAAAATACGATGACACCGTTAACATATTTTGACGAGCAGATAACAATCGTTAATACTTGAAAAGTTGATACTTGTAAAGTGTTCCTTTATTGATATTACGATTTGCCAAGATGAAATAGGTGGCGAAGTAAATTATATGAAATACAGTCTAGGTGAATCAAAAAGTCGAAATATACTATGTTTAATCAAGGATTGATTGATACTGAGATTTACCAAGATGAAATAGGTGTCAAATGTGTTTTTTGGTGAAATGCATTTTACAAGAGAAATGTAAGAAATCAAATATTTTTAAAATTTTTACTTTAACAAATATAGTCTGATTGATTATAAAAAAAGTGAGAAAACCTATTTGTTATTAGCAATTTTGAGAGATTTTCGAAGCTGTTTGAGGTATTGTCTTGTGCATGTGTTTTGTATCTTGCGAATTCAAAGGCACTTGAACTAACATTACTGCAAGGAGTTAAAACGGGGGTTACGGTGGGTGCGATCTCACCCCCACCCAAAAATACAACCATAAGGAAAAGGGAGACGAGAGGTTAAGAATGCTTTTTACTTGACGTTTCTAGTTCCATTTTAAAGAGGTTGCACCAATTTGGAAAATACTACGATCGTACCCCCCCTCAACTGGCCCTCAATCAAATTATCACTAATACTAAAATCATCACCATTACAATGTTAATTGTTCATTCAATTTAATGTTAACATTTAGCAAAGATTTGCACTTTATCAATCTGTTATCATATTTGCACCCAGCAGTACATTTTATCCTAGATCCTAGATCCTACAGGAGTAATGCATTGGCACTAATACGCGTTGCATTCCATTCTGGGCAGTGTATGTCTGGTATGAATGTAGAACTCGTGATAAATACTTTTGACATATTTTCACCTTCATCTTCTACTTCATGATTATTCTCATTTATTTATTAATTGTAATTTTATTCAGTGGAACCATCAATTTGAAATACCAAGCATGTTGCGAAAACTCTTTGTGACAGTCTTAGCACACAAGTCATGATCAAGACCAAGTGTCTTCTTAGCATGGTACATCAAAGTATCCCTTCTTAATTGCACTGTTGAGTGTCTAGCTACATGCTCTGTGTGAGAAGATGTTTACTCAAGTAGAGCGGGGGGGGGGAGGGGGGTTGTCACAGAGGCCCTAAGCTAGACTACCTTAATTAAAGGGGCAACAAGGACTGTTGAGAGAAAATTTGAAATTTTTTATTTTTTCTGAGCTATCAGGTCAATATTTGACTTAACATCTTCTTTGACATAACTATTTTCTTAAAATGTATGGATAAAATATCAATTTCAGCATTAAGAAGTGTAAATCCAGTTCAAAGCTTCTATAAAGGGAGTCCCACTTATAGATTTTTAAGATCAACCACGTTTTAATAGGAATATCAGCTGAAATAATGTTCACCCAGGAGGTTTCTTTGTAGATAATAAAGATATATGTTAGTCTTGATGAAATATCCAAACTTAAATGAGCCTGGCCATAGGAAAACAGGTTTTATCACAAGAATTAGAACTGTGCTACAGAGCCAAAAATGTGCCCAAGATTAAGAGGAAAATGTGCTAAATTCAAATCCGAATTTTTGGTCTAATTATGCAAGGAAAAATTCTAAGACATAAGCCATGGCTCATTTGAAAGGTCTCTTTGTGCTTTCTAAGATAAACAAAAAATCAAAATATTGAAAAAATCGGTGATAGGACCCCTTTTCCTGTGGCCTGGCTCAAATATATTTTGACACTGGTCGATGATTGTTGAATGCCCCCCCTGCAATTGTTGCACCTTTAACACATAATACAACGTGACTTGATTATGGGTTACTTACAGTATAGTAAAATAACTATTTTGGTTTATTAAATTAGCATTTACTTTTATGTGATCTAAGAGATACAGTAACTGCCTTATGAGAGAATCTGAGGGGCAGACAATGCTGCAATGCTGTAGTGTGATTCTGATTATTGGTTTACTAGTTCAGTAAAATCAATCAAAGCAGATTGAGTACTATTTTGTTTTTGTTTTTTATACATTAAATTAAACCCCTTGGTTAACAATAATAGACATGTAATTGATTGCCAGAGTTTTATAAAAAACATTAGCGGCAATTTATATAAAAACATTAGCGGCAATTGAGTACCTGTAATCTATGGATTTTCAAAACACTGGCACATTGTCCAGCATGAAACAATTTGGAGACGTTGACCATAGCTATTTTGGTATCTATATGGTGATCAACAGTGGTTGTATTGATTGAACTAGTTAAAAATAAATAAGGAATGCTATATTAATTAATTATCTAATTAGTGCCTTTGTACACTCGTTTACCTTGGCAAATCTCACAATTTTCTTTGTAAGATATGAAGGATTATTTTGAATCAAGTCTCTTTGGTGCTCGCCAAAATGCCCTCTCTTTCTAAAGGCTTTCATTTGATAGAATTCTAGACTATACATTTAGCTATTTTTTAAAAGTCAAGACTCAAAAAGGTTGCACAAATACAAAATAAAATTCATTGCACCCCATTTCTGGTGGTTACAATCTTCTGAACTGACTCAGAGTTTAATGAAAACTCAGAGACCCAGAATTAAATCAAAATAATTTCAAAGTCTATTGCGTTATAAATAAATTCACAAAAATGTACGGTAGGTCTAATTCCACGATATTGGAGACCGGCTCCAACAATCATTGGACTATCAGTATTGGCTATTTACGTAATTCATTTTTTATCTATGATTAAAATGGCAACTTTAAATTATTGTTTTCAAATACGTGGCGTACAATATTTTGATTTGATTTAGGAAAATGAATTGGTAAATGAAGATCAAGTTTATTCGACTGATCAGAGTCAATTACAACGTCACCGTAACCTTACAATTTTACTTGTTAAACTGTTTATTTTCACGTCAATATTTGGAAAAGATACGTAAACTATTGTTCGCCCACAAACGTCTAACACCTTCTACCGATTTCTTTTTTTATCGATTGGAGACGTCCTTTTAAGTAGAGTTTGATTTTGTATAGATTCATTGTTATTGAAACTTTCAGAGCTATAGTTGAATGTTGGGTGTAACATAAATAAGATTCTTTATTGATATAAAGAATACTTTGAATTATACTATTCGAATAACTCTTCCTTTGCATTGAAAGACCGTCAAAAGAAGGGGGGTTATTATTCCCTTATATTTACGATAAACTTCCAGCTAAACTACATGTTTATATCCTGTGGTTTATATATCGTGTTGCTTTTCGACATTCTATTTTCAATAACATTTACCAGAGTATGCTGGTATGTTGGGATGAAACAAATACAATGTGTTATTTTGTTTTGGTACCAGAATCATCATGATCATGATAACTTGCGCCGTTATTTTATAAAACCTGTCTTGTAAAATAGCATAATTACGTCACAACTCACAATGGAGCACCATAGTGTATTACGGCTGGATTTTTTTGCGATGTATCAGTAGGCTAGGTATCAAACATAAATAGATGATATCCTATGATCTTTGAGGGATACCATTTTTTATCCTATGCCAAGTAGAGTTTTAGGGAGATAAGTTGCTAAGATATATCCCGTATCCTGATTTTGAGGTTTCCATATCCCGAACCTCCATATCTCCCGCCATATCTCCCGCTCCAGGGCATATCTTCCCGCTTCGAAAAAAAATTGAAAAACAAGAAAAATTGAAAAAAAGAAAAAATGTGAAAATAAATTGAAAAAAATAAAAAATTGAAAAGAAAAAAAAATGGAAAAAATTAGTAAAATGTGAAAAAATAAAAAATAATTGAAAGAAAATTAGAAAACTCTACTTGGTATAGGATAAAGCAGTTATGTACGGTCGGTTTGGATATGGGGTTCATCCTTCATCCCTCAGGTAGATATGCATATCTCCCTCTGGATAAACCCCATATCCAAAACCTCCCAGTACATAACACTTATTTATCCATGAGTGGATATCGCCCATCTCCACGAGTGGGCAGTATAGAGCGCAAATAGTAGTCTTATAACGTCAAAAACTACGAGCGTTACAGTTTGTCAAGTTTAGGCAACACAAAAATATAATATTGTGCAGTTAATTTTTCATTCAAATCAGACTTCAGATCAGAAGGTTAAATTAAGTCAAACTTATCGCTCACCCCCTTCGCCTTCGCCCTGGCGCATACCAGAATTATCTTGTGTTGTCATCCCCATATATATTTAGTATCCATCGGATAAAATGAA